ATGATCTTGACTCACCGCAACCTCCACCTCCCAGGTTCAAGTGATTCTCCTGCCTCAGCCTCCCGAGTAGCTGGGATTACAGGCATGCGCCACCACGCCTGGCTAATTTTGTATTTTTAGTAGAGGTGGGGTTTTACCATGTTATTCAGGCTGGTCTCGAACTCCTGACCTCAGGGGATCCACCTGTCTCAGCCTCCCAGAGTGCTGGGATTACCAGCATAAGCCACTGTGTCCAGCCCAACATGAGCTCTTCTTTATACATGAAAAACTTACTTCTCTGAATCATACTTATCTCAGGGTGTAAAATCCTCCAGTGTGGTGAGAAGTGAATGACTGTAATGTCCAAGTAACAAGATTTCACAGAAATGGATGCATGGAATTAGAAATAACTAAAGTCATTAAATTTAGCATATCATAATTTATTGTGACAAAGTATAAGAGAAATAAAGTAAAAATAAAAGTTCAACAAGAAAATGGAATGATGTAAAATCCCTATTAAAAAAGGTATAGGGCCAGGTGTGGTGGCTCGTGCCTGTAATCCCAGCAGTTTGGGAGGCTGAGGTGGGCAGATCACCTGAGGTCAGGAGTTCAAGACCAGCCTGGCCAACATGGTGAAAGCCTGTCTCTACTAACAATACAAAAAAATTAGCCAGGAGTGGTGGCGGGTGCCTGTACTCTCAGCTACTCAGGATGCTGAGGCAGGAGAATCACTTAAACCCGGAAGGGGAGGCAGAGGTTGCAGTGAGTTGAGACTGTACCATTACACTCCAGCCTGGGCAACAACAGTGAAACTCTGTCTCAAATAAAATAAAATAAAATAAAATAAAATAAAGACCGATGTAACAATTTATTTAAAAAGTCAGTATTGGGCCAGGCACAGTGGCTGATGCCTGTAATTTCAGCACTTTGGGAGGCTGAGGTGGGAGGATCACTTGAGGTCAGGAGTTCAAGAACAGCCTGGCTGACACAATGAAACCCCGTCTCTACTAAAAATACGAAAATTAGCCAGGCACTGTGGGCAGGCACCTGTAATCTCAGCTACTTGGGAGGCTGAGGCAGGAGAGTCGCTTGAACCCTAGAGGCAAAGGTTGTAGTAAGCCAGGATTTTGCCATTGCACTCCAGCCTGGGTGACAGAGCAAAACCTCATCTCAAAAAAAAAAAAAAGCAGTATTGACAGTAGGTCAGAACTTGCATCTTTTAGGTTTGTTGTTGTTGTTGTTGTTTTGTTTTTTTTTTTTTGAGGCTGAGTTTTGCTCTATTGCCCAGGCTGGAGTACAGTGATATCCTGGCTCACTGCAACCTCCGCCTCCCGGATTCAAGCAATTCTCCTGCTGCAGTCTCCGGAGTAGCTGGGATTACAGGCATTCCCAACCATGCCTGGCTAAATTTTGCAGTTTTAGTAGAGACAGGGTTTCATTATGTTGGCCAGGCTGGTCTCGAACTCCTGACCTCAAGTGATCTGCCCACCTTGGCCTCCCAAAGTGTTGGGTTTACAGGCGTGAGCCATCACGCTTGGCCCTTTTCTTCTATTTGAATTTATGAAAAGCTGTAGATGCCAACTTGAAAATGTACAAGGAGGTACAGAGTTGGTTTTTATTTTTTGCTTTTTTTGGAGACAGGGTCTTGCTGTGTCACCCAGACTGGAGTACAGTGGTACAATCACATCTCACTGCAGCCTTCATCTCCCAGGATCGAGTGATTCTCCTGCTTTGGCCTCCTGAGTAGCTAGGACTACAGGCACGCACATCCATACCCAGCTAATTATTTTTATTTTTGTAGAGACTAGTTCTCACTACGTCAGCCAGGCTGGTCTTGAATTCCTGGCCTCAAGCGATCCTCCCATCCGAGCCTCCCAAAGTGCTGGGATTACAGGTGTGAGACACTGCACCCAGCTGAGTTTTTAAAAACAATTTTGAGGGTATGCCAGCAAAAAAAGTTATGTTTCTTTTTTTTTTTTTTGAGACGGAGTCTCGCTCTGTCGCCCAGGCTGGAGTGCAGTGGCGCAATCTCAGCTCACTGCAAGCTCCGCCTCCTGGGTTTACACCATTCTCCTGCCTCAGCCTCCCGAGTAGCTGGGACTACAGGCGCCCGCCACCACGCCCGGCTAGTTTTTTTGTTTTTTTTAGTAGAGACGAGGTTTTACCATGTTAGCCAGGATGGTCTCAATCTCCTGACCTCGTGATCCACCTGTCTCGGCCTCCCAAAGTGCTGGGATTACAGGCTTGAGCCACCGCGCCCGGCCTATGTTTCATTTTTGATCACCATAGCAGTATGACCGTCGTCTTTCTATAAACTGGGGGTAGGTGGGTATGAGGGACTTGTAAAGCCATCAACCCAACAGGACGCTGAGCACTAAGAACTTCAGGGCGAGCTTCCAAGCCTCTGGGAAGTAGCTCCCTCATGCTGATTCCCCTACCTGAAGTAAAGGCCCTGCCAACCTGCCTGCCCTCCTTACCATTAGTCTCCACACTTCCCAGGCTGTGTGTGCACCACTCCAGTAAGGGGGAGTTAGATAAGGCGAACTCTAAGTAAGACCGAAGGTACTGATCTAATTAAAATTTTTGAAGAACTAGTATTCCCTTTTGTCATAGCATGTAATAAGCATCTATGCTGACTTACTGTTTATGTGTTTTTTCTGAGACAGAGTTTCACTGTGTCACCCAAGCTGGAGTGCGGTGATGTGATCTTGTCTCACCACAACCTCGGGTTCAAGTGATTCTCCTGCCTCAGCCTCCCAAGTAGCTGGGATTACAGGCACACACCACCACGCCCAGCTAATTTTTGTATTTTTAGTAGAGACAGGATTTCACCATGTTAGCCAGGCTGGTCTCAAATTCCTGACCTCAGGTGATCCACCCGCCTCAGGCTCCCAGAGTGCTGGAATTACAGGTGTGAGCCACTACGCCCGATGGACTTACTGTTTGTGAATAAACGGTTTTCATCTGGCTTTCTGAAATGTTGACAAGAATCACAACTAGTTCATATTTCCTAGGCTTCTAAGGATCCCAGTAAGGAATATTTTTCCTTCTTGGAACAGTTAAAAAATGTTGTGCTTAATAAAACCAAAGAGACACACACACACACACACACACTCCCTTTCCACAAAAACCCAAACAAGGCTGGGCACAGTGGCTCACGCCTGTAATCCCAGCACTTTGGGAGGCCAAGGTGGGTGGATCACGAGGTCAGGAATTTGAGACCAGCCTGGCTAACATGGTGAAACCCCATCTCTATTAAAAATACAAAAATTAGGCCAGGCTTGGTGGCTTACGCCTGTAATCCCAGCACTTTGAGAGGCTGCGGTGGGCGGATCACGAGGTCAAGAGATCCAGACCATCCTGGCTAACATGGTGAAACCCTATCTCTACTATAAATATAAAAATCGGCTGGGCGCAGTAGTTCATGCCTGTAATCCCAGCACTTTGGGAGGCCAAGGCAGGCGGATCACAAGGTCAGGAGATCGAGACCATCCTGGCTAACATGGTGAAACCCGTTTCTACTAAAGAATACAAAAAATTAGCCCAGTGTGGTGGCGGGCGCCTGTAGTCCAAGCTACTCAGGAGGCTGAGGCAGGAGAATGGCGTGAACCCGGGAGGTGGAGCTTGCAGTGAGTGGAGATTGTGCCACTGCACTCCAGCCTGGGTGACAGAGCAAGACTCCGCCTCAAAAAAACAAAACGAAACAAAAAAATACAAAAATCAGTTGGGCGTGGTGCTGTGTGCCTGTAGTCCCAGCTACTTGGGAGGCTGAGGCAGGAGAATCCCTTGAACCTAGGAGGCAGTTGCAGTGAGGTGAGATCAGGCCACTGCACTCCAGCCTGGCGACAGAGCGAGACTCCGTCTCAAAAAATCCCCCAAAAAACCCGCAAAATGAGCCTGTAATCCCAGCTACTCGCGAGGCTGAAGCAAGAGAATTGCTTGAACCCAGGAGGCGGAGGCTGCAGCAGTGAGACGAGATCACACGCTACTACACTCCAGCCTGCGCGACAGAGCAAGACTCCATCTCAAAAAAAAAAAAAAGAAAAAAAAAACCCAAACAAAAGCAATTGTTCCCCAACACAATGACAAAAGATCTGAAACAATCATTGTATCATGACTAAAGGGAAATAATAATTTGGTGACTATTTCTTTTGAGAAGACTTCTGTGTGACATCTTTAGAGAAAGGTAGTATGTGTAAACATATTACACATATGTACATGGACACAGAGAGGGGTCCATTTTAACTTCTGTTTTCTTTCATCTCCCAATATACATTGTATCTCTTTTCATTTCATTGTGTTTGGAGAAGAATTTTTATACATTTGCATTTTGAATTAAATCTAAATCCTCTTTAACATAGGATGGGGAGGAAAAAAAGACTAACTAATGCCAATTTAGTTTCAGCCATTTTATGCAAGAATCCAAAAGCATCAAATTTCCGTGTACTCTGGGAACAATATATAGCATGAACAAAAGGTTACAGAGGGAAGAAAATGTAATTGATTCTGAAGAGCGTGAACATCTGCAAAGAATATATTGTGAGAGAAAATGATCTCTGAGGGTCCTACTTATGATGAAACGGTTTCTAGCTACCCATGTCAGACAAATAGCTGCCTTACACACCTCTCTCAAAGTTCAATCCCTAAGCAGAGCATGACAATTGATGCTTAAAGTAGTCTTACTTTTACTTTCTGAAACATGGAAGCAAATAGAAACATAGTAAAAGACTTCACAAAACTAAACTCCTCTAGTGGTAATGAGCTAATGTAATGTACTTAGAGGAAAAGTCAGAAAAAACTATAGTCTGGTCAAAATTCTGTCATTAAATTGTGGCCAAGTCAATTGATCTCTTTGAGCCTCAAGGTCCTCAATTTTGACATGGGAGGGCTGGACCGACAAGGGTCTTTTAGGATGTTGTCTAGGATTATCAGATTACCAGAGTACCTTTTCTTCTAGAACTCTCTTGAGTCTTAAGACTTTCAATTTTGGATAGAAAGAACAAAAATTCTAACACAACTGATTTAAGAACATCAACATTTATTTAACATGATAAAAAAGAAATGAGATATGAACATTTGCATTTAAACAATAGTAAGTAGCCTTTAATACATTACATGTGCTCATTGTATAATATATACACAATGAACATAATTACATTTGTACACAAACTAAGTACTGGATTTGAAAACCTGCTTATTGCTGTACACATGTATTCCAATGAAATATAAGCCCAGTACTTCAAAATACCTACACTTTGTTTTTTTTTTTTTTTTTTAAGAAAAGATAAGCGGTAACATTTGTGTTTAAGCTGACAGGAGTGTGGCAGTAACTGCTGACATTGCAATCTGACTGAGAAAGAATTATAGCAGAAAACAGGACATACTTCACTTAGCAATAAAATGGCACATTTTAAATATATATATATATATATAAAATTTTTACAAATCAAGTGTGAAACAAAAGCACTGCAGTAGCCAAAATGGGAAGGAAAAAAAAAAAAAAAAAGAAAACAAGCTTCATTGGAAATAATAACTAACTTAAGAAAATGAAAAGCAAAAAAAAATATATAAATTCACCTAGACTTCAGAAACATCGAAATCTGGAAATCAGCAACTAAGTAAGCTCTGGCAATAGACTGCACATTAAAAAGCACCTTTACTTATGTGCTCTGAAATCATAGCAGCAAGCTGGTGTCAGAATAATAACCTTGAGATTACGGAGTGTACATATGGGCCATTAAAGCTGTTTTGGAATAAACATTTTCCAGAAGTGATAAAATGATGCTCTGTGACCAAAAGCATCAGAACTATGAATTTCATAGATTTAAAATATACTGTACAATATCTTCTTACACTGCTGAAGGTCCATGTCTTTAGCTTTGAATGGTTTCAACAGAAGTCAGTATAGCTGAAAAATAAGAAAGAGGAAATTACTTTGACACCTGCAACATCAATCAATTACCATTTCCCAAAGTAACTAAGGGTGACATTCTATAACAACAGAACTGACAAGCATGGCCATGAAAATCCTAAAACACAATGCAACCAAAGGATATTTTTCTTCATTTCCATAGCTTAATTCACAAAGCAAAGAAACATAATACAATTTTTTTTTTTTTTGAGACAGGGTCTCACTCTGTTGCCTAGGCTGGGGTGCAGTGATGCGATCCTGGCTCTCTGCAACCGCTGCTTCCTGGGTTCAAGTGATTCTCGTGCCTCAGTCTCCCAACTAGCTGGGATTACAGGCATGTATCACCATGCCTGGCTAATTTTTGTATTTTTAGTAGAGACGGGGTTTCACCATGTTGGCCAGGCTGGTCTCGAACTCCTGGCCTCAAGTGATCTCTGCCTGCCTTGGCCTCCCAAAGTGCTGGGATTAAAAGCATGAGCCACTATACTCGGCCCCACAAGGAAACATAATGTAATGCAATTCTTCTTCTTCTTCCTCCTCCTCCTCCTCATTATTATTATTATTATTATTATTATTATTATTTTGGAGACGGAGTCTCACTCTGTTGCCCAGGGTGGAGTGCAGTGGCGCAATCTCGGCTCACTGCAACCTCTGCCTCCCGGGTTCCAGCAATTCTCTTGCCTCAGCCTCCTGAGTAGCTGGGACTACACGTGCACGTCACCACACCCAACTAATTTTTTGTGTTTTAGTAGAGATGGGGTTTCACTGTGTTGCCCAGGCTGGTCTCAAACTCTTGAATTCAGGCACTCCGCCCGCCTCAGCCTCCCAAAGTGCTAGGATTACAGGCGTGAGCCACTGTGCCCGGCCTTCTTATTATTTTTGAGATGGAGTCTCACTCTGTCACCAGGCTGGAGTGCAGTGGTGCGATCTTGGCTCACTGCAACTTCCACCTCTCGGGTTCAAGTGATTTTCCTGCCTCAGTCTCTAGAGTAGCTGAGACTATAGGTGCACGCCACCACACCCAGCTAATTTTTGTATTTTTAGTAGAGACGGAGTTTCACCATGTTGGCCACAATGGTCTCGCTCTCTTGACCTTGTGTTCCGCCCGCCTCGGCCTCCCAAAGTGTTGGGATTACAGATGTGAGCCACTGTGCCTGGCCAACATAATGCAATTATAAATAGCAATACAGGCCGGGCGCGGTGGCTCAAGCCTGTAATCTCAGCACTTTGGGAGGCCGAGACAGGCGGATCACAAGGTCAGGAGATCGAGACCATCCTGGCTAACACAGTGAAACCCCATCTCTACTAAAAAGTACAAAAAACTAGCCGGGCGAGGTGGCGGGCGCCTGTAGTCCCAGCTACTCCGGAGGCTGAGGCAGGAGAATGGCATAAACCCGGGAGGCGGAGCTTGCAGTGAGCAGAGATCCGGCCACTGCACTCCAGCCTGGGCGACAGAGCCAGACTCCGTCTCAAAAAAATAAATAAATAATAAAAAAAAAATAAATAGCAATACAGAATAAAAAATGTACCACTGGCAACGGCAACCCCCTTTGGGTCCCCTCCCATTTTATGGGAGCTCTGTTTTCACTCTATTAAATCTTGCAACTGGAAAAAAAAAAAAAAAAAAAAAAAAAATCCAAACTTGTAGCTGAATCCAAAAGATCAACAAAATGAGCAAACATCTGCGTAACTCCACTAAAATATGTAATAATATATTGAGCTGCCTACGGAGCTGCCTACATAGTAGTATCATTTGTAAAGGTTTCCTAAATCCTGCCAAAACCGCTAGTTCAGAAAGATGGCATATGCATAATAGGAAGATATAAAATAATAAATACAAGTTTTCATGCCCTTTAGTTGTTTGTGGTGACTGCATACCATGAGACTAGAAAATATCTGACAATAATTATCCCTCATTACAGAATGCCACTGCTCTTGGAATAAGAGGAAAACAAAATAAAATCCTCTAACAATTTAAGGAACCTGGAAATATGCTTGAGTTTTAACTCAGAATATCCTTTATTATTGGAAGGATATGTGTACAGTCATAATCTGTTTATTGAATCAAAATATTATATGAATGGCTCTTAATGAATCAAATGAGTCCAATGTTTATTTTTCCTATGTTTTGTGTTATTATGTCACCAGTAGCAACCGTCACTTTTTAATTTAATTTAATTTTATTTTTTGAGACAGAGTTTTGTTCTTGTTGACCAGGCTGGAGTGCAATGGCACGACCTCGGCTCACTGCAACCTCTGCCTCCGGGTTCAAGCAATTCTCCTGCCTCAGCCTCCCAAGTAGCTGGGATTACAGGCGCCCACCACCACGCCCAGATAATTTTGTATTTTTAGTAGAGACTAGGTTTTTCTCCATGTTGGTCACGCTGGTCTTGAACTCTTGACCTCAGGTGACCTGCCTGCCTCGGCCTCCCAAAGTGTGGGATTACAGGTGTGAGCCACCATGCCCAGATTTTCTTCTTCTTTTTTTTTTTTTTTGTGGACAGTCTTGTTCTGTCGCCCAGGCTGTAGTGCAGTGGTGTGATCTTGGCTCATTGCAACCTCTGCCTCCCAGGTTCAAGCAATTCTCCGGTCTCAGCCTCCCAGGTAGCTGGGATTACAGGTGCCTGACACCATGCCCAGCTAATTTTTGTATTTTTAAGTAGAGATGGGGTTTTACCATTTTGGCCAGGCTGGTCTTGAACTCCTGACCTCAAGTGATCCACCAGCCTTGGCCTCCCAAAGTGCTGGCATTACCGTGCCTGGCCTCAACAGTCACTTCTAAACGTATTAAATTAAAAGTTTAAACACAGCAAGGTGTGGTGGCTCAATCTTGTAATCTCAGTGCTTTGGGAAACCGAGGCAGGCAGCGTGCTTGAGCTCAGGAGTTTGAGACCAGCCTGGGCCACATGGCGAAACCCCTACTCTACAAAAAATACAAAAAACCAGCCAGGCTTGGTCGCACATGCCTGTGGTCCCAGCTACTTGGGAGGCTGTCATGGAAGGATCACTTAAGCCCAGGAGGACAAGGCTCCAAGATCTCACCATTGCATTCCAGCCTGGGCAACAGGGTGAGACCTGGTCTAAAAAAAGGAAAAAACAAAACAAAAAAGGCTTAAACACAAGTGACAGAGGCAAAACACAGGTAATACTGTAACAATTAGGTTATTTGTAACTCTCCAGCAAGCACTTCAATCCTGCACAGACACCAACCGACAACAAACAACAGCCTCTTTGAGGTTCCAGGTAGACATAATCTCAAATAAAAGTTACAAATATGAAAAGACAACAAAAAACTTTGGGCTGAAAAAAAGGGCACAGATTATAGTTGCTACAAAAAGGTGTGGAAGGAAGTAGATTCGAGAAAACAGGATGGGAGGAAATATTTGCAAACTATGAATCCAACAAAGGACTAATATCTAGAATCTGGAAGGAACTCAAAACAAATCAGCAAGGAAAAAAACCAAATAATCCCATCAAAAAGTGGGCAAATGACAGGAATAGGCATTTCTCAAAAGAAGATACACAACGAGATGCCTCCTTATTCCTGCAAGAATGCCATAATTGGCTGGGTGCAGTGGGTCATGTTAGCACTTTGGGAGGCTGAGGTGGGCGGATCACGAGGTAAAGAGATGGAGACCATACTGGCCAACACGGTGAAACCCCATCTCTACTAAAAATATAAAAATTAGCTGGACGTGGTGGCGTGTGCCTGTAGTCCCAGCTACTCGGGAGGCTGAGGCAGAATTGCTTGAACCCGAGAGGCGGAGGTTGAAGTGAGCCAAGATTGTGCCATTGCACTCCGGCCTGGTGACAGAGCGAGACTCCATCTCAAAAAAAAAAAAAAAAAAAATGGCCACAACTTAAAAGTCAAAAAACAACAGACGTTGGTATGGATGTGGTGAGAAGGAAACACTTTTACACTGCCGGTGGAGATGTAAACTAGTATAACCACTATAGAAAACTGTGGAGATTCCTTAAAGAACGAAAAGTAGATCTACCATTTGATCCAGCAATCCCACTAACCCAAAAGAAAACGAGTCATTACATGAAAAAGATACATGCATGTTTATAGCAGCACAATTTGCAACTCCAAGGGTATGCAACCAACGTAAGTGTCCATCAACCAAGGAGTGGATAAAGAAAATGTGGTTTATATACAGCATGGAATACTACCCAGTAATAAAAAGGAATATAATAATGTATTTTGCAGCAACTTGGATGGAGCTGGAGGCCATTATTCGAAGTAAAGTAACTCAGGAAAGGAAAACCAAATATATGTTCTCACTTATAAGTTGGAGCTATGCTATGGGTACGCAAAGGCATACAGCGTGGTATAATGGACTCTGGAGACTCACAAGGGAGAGGGTGGAAGGTCAGAGAAGGATAAAAAAAATACATATTGGCTACAACATACACTACTCGGGTAATGGGTGCGCTAAAATCTCAGACTTCACCACTGTACAATTCTTCCATGTAACCCAAAACCACTTGTACCCAAAGCTAGTGAAATTTAAAACATACTTGAAAAGAAAGAAAAAAGGCTGGGTGTGGTGGCTCACACCTGTCATCTCAGCACTTTGGGTGGCTGAGGCAGACAGATCACTTGAGCTCAGGAGTTTGAGACCAGCCTGGGCAATGTGGTGAAAACTCCATCTCTACAAAAAAATTAGCCTGGCATGGTGGCACACAACTATAGTCCCAGCTACTCAGGGGGCTGAGGTGGGAGGACTGCTTGAGCCTGGGAGGTCAGCCTGCAGTGAGCCACTGAGCCATGATCTTGCGCCACTGCACTCCAGCCCAGGTGACAGAGTAAGACCCTGTCTCAAAAATAAATAAATAAATAAATAAATAAATAAAAGAAATATTTTCAGAATGTAAAAATCAAAGAGGCTAGGCGCAGTGGCAGGTTAGCTTGAGTTCAGGAGCTTGAGACCAGCATGGGCAACTTAGTAAGACCATCTCTACAAGAAAATCAAAATATTAGCCAGGTGTGGTGGCGTGCACTTGTGATCCCAGCTACTTGTAAGGCTGAGGCAGGAGGACTGCTTGAGCCCAGGACGTCAAGGCTGCAGTGAGCTGTGATTATGCCACTATACTCCAGCATGGGTGACATCTCTGAAAAAAGAAATAACGTAAAAAAAAAAAAAAACAAGAAAAAAAATAAATAAAAGAAGATGTTAGTACTAATGCTTATAATTGTTCAGCAGAAACTGGTGGTAATCCTAAAGCACCAAACTTGACTAGATATGGTAGATGCTGTGAGAAAGAAAATGCAGAAAGAGGCATAACATTCTTACTCTATACCAGAGCTTTCATAAAAAGTTAAAAAACATTTAGAGTACTCTGTAAGTACTAAATTATAGGTTAAAATTAGCAATTGTCTAGAAACTTTAAAAGAAAGAATTTAGGAAATTATTCTCAATTATAAATCTGTGCTCTAAGGAACACTGTTCAAGAAAGGATTCCTTCTCCCTGATACCATCCCTGGTTTTAGTAACTACCTACGTGACTTAATAGAATGCAATTACTTAGAAATAATATCAGATAGACATTAAAGATTTTAATATTCTATCAAGTTGGCTGTACCATAAACATTTCATTGTCATTTACAATAATTAGCAAATTCCCAGTGGGCAGACACGTCACACTAACTGTAAAAAGCATTACACAGTCAACGTGTAATGACTTAAACAGAATTCTCAGGTCAGGCTATGGAAAGGAACATTAAGTAGAAGCACAGCTGCACAACACTGCAAGTCTTGGCACAGGCCATACCCTCCAAATTTTGTTGTTTTTCTGGATGATGAAATAAGAGACAAAGAAAATGCTGTCACGCAGCAAATCATCGGAAGAGCCAATGTTAGCAATCTGTTACTGACCCTGGTTCCAAGATACGGCCTACTTGTTCTGCCAACTATCCCTATGCACAGTCCAGAACTAATCCCAGTTTTGATTCACTAAACCAACAGATGAGTCATAAAATACAAGTGAAAAACTCTAAAGCACAAATGCAAAGGGAAATGACGTACTTCTTCTGGGACTACACACACATGAAATGTGAGCCTTCTGTGAGCTGCGGCTGAGTGGACGGAACTGGTGATGCCGAGGACTCAGGAGATGGGGACAGACTTTTCACTAAAACACACAAAGAAAATGGGAGAAGATAAAAATCTTTAAGACGTATTTGGAGAAGTAAATCCTCATGTTGTAATCCCACAAAAATGAGAACATGTTTTGAGAAGTAAGTAATAGATACATTTGGTTCTACTGTGATTTTTTCTTTTTAAATAATTAAAAACAAATTTTTATTAATTGAGATGTGGTCTATGTTGTCCAGGCTGGTCTCGAACTCCTGGCATCATGCGATACGCCCATCTCGGTCTCCCAAAGTGTTGGGATTATGCGCCCAGCCTGTTATTTTCTTCTTCTTCTTTTTTTTTTTTTAGATACAGAGTCTTGCATTGTTGCCCAGGCTGGAGTGCAGTGGCGCGATCTCGGCTCACTGCAAGCTCCGCCTCTTGGGTTCACGCCATTCTCCTGCCTCAGCCTCCCGAGTAGCTGGGACTACAGGTGCCCGCCACCACGCCCGGCTAATTTCTTGTATTTTTAGTAGAGATGGGGTTTCACTGTGTTAACCAGGATGATCTCGATCTCCTGACCTTGTGATCTGCCCGCCTCAGCCTCCCAAAGTGCTGGGATTACAGGCATGAGCCACCGCGCCCAGCCGTCCAGCCTGTTATTTTCTAATCTGCAATCTAATTATTCAGTATAAAATGTTTCCTGAAGACTATTTAATTTTTTTTTTTTTTTTGGCTGGGTGTGGTGGCTCATGTCTGTAATCCCACCACTTTGGAAGGCCGAGGCTGGCGGATCATTTGAAGTCAGGAGTTTGAGACCAGCCTGGCCAACATGCTGAAACCCTGACTCTAGTAAAAATACAAAAATTAGTCAGACATGGTAGCTCGTGCCTGTATTCCTAGCTACTCAGGAAGTCAGGGCAGGAGAAGTGCTTGAACCCAGGAGCCGGAAGCTGCAATGAGCTGAGATCGCACCTCTGTATTTTAGCCTGGGCAAGAGAGCAAGACTTTGTCTCCAACAACAACAACAACAACAACAAAAACAAAAAAATATATATAATTTTTTTTTTTTTGCTTTGAGGTTAATTTTCTGTTGCAACTTTTCTAGTTTTATGCAGCTATATACTATAGATGATTTAAATGCTGTGGTTTTAATACTATCATACCACTTTGATCCAGACCTGCTACATAATAACCAAAACTGGCCAGTGACAATTTTTTTTAACAGTGAGACCTCCTGTGCACACTACCTTATTTATTTATTTATTTTGAGACAGAGTTTCGCTCTTGTCATCCAGGGTGGAGTGCAGGGGCGTGATCTCGGCTCACTGCAACCTCTGCTTCCGGGTTCAAGCAATTCTCTGCCTCAGCCTCCTGAGTAGCTGGTATTGGAGGTGCCTGCCACTATGCCCGGCTAATTTTTTGTATTTTTAGTAGAGATGGGGTTTCACCATCTTGGCCAGGCTGGTCTTGAACTCCTGACCTTGTGATCCACCCTGCCTCGGCCTCCCAAAGTGCTGGATTATAGGCGTGAGCCACTGCGCCTGGCTGAAAGATTTTATTAGAAAAAGTTTACTCTATATGTTAAAATTGAAAGGAAAAAGCAAAACCAAAACCAATGTGTTGATCCCTCTGCCAGAGTAGACTCTGGCAGGGACCGCATCCCTCCTGAAGGTACACTTGGGGAGGCAAACGTTGACTAATCTATAGTCAAGGTACTTAAGTGATTTCCTTCTTAGAATCTCCCCATGGAAAATAAATTTAGAAGTTCAGAGGAAGCACCAGGTAGAAAATTATGAAATGTATACTAGCTACCTGCCATTGTTTGATTTCCTCTAGAAACCTCAGGAGTTGATTCGTAAGAAATAACAGTTTCTTCCTGTTCGTCAGCATTGTTCTTTGTATTTTCTTCAGGATGGTCTTCTGGTTTATGATTTGTGATCTGTGTTTCATCTTGAGGGCTGATGAAAATAGATTGGTATTTAAAAATTTGTCACTATAGAATACAATTAATTTTTCTTCTTTTTTTTTGTTATAAAAGATGCCACCACCTATGTTTAACAACTAACATTTTCTTACAATTAATCTTTTCTTTTTTTGGAAAGTTTCAAACAAATTAGAGCAAATAATAAACCTGTATATTCATTTCAATAATTACTCAGTTTGCCAATCTTGCTTCATCTAAGCCCTAAAACCCTCGCTCCCTAAACCATTTAAAGCAGATTCTAGATATGATATTTAATCTGTAAGTACTTCAGTACATATTTTTAATATGTTAATGCCATCAAATATCCAGTCAGTGCTTAAATTTTCCTGGTGCCTCATAATGTCATTTTAGAATTAGAATCAGGATCCAAACAAAGTCCATATATTACCTGACAAATTCCTTAAAGTCTACTTTAATCCAAAACAAACTGCCCCAGATCCCTTTTACTCTTTGCCATTTATATGTAAAAGAACCTGGTCTATCTGTCCTATATAGTTTATCACATTCTGGATTCTGATGGTTGTATCCCTCAAGATTCTCTATAAAGTTATATTATTACTACTATTAAATTTTTTTTTTTTTTTGAGACAGAGTCTTGCTCTGTCATCCAGGCTGGAGTGCAGTGGCATGATGTAGGCTCACTGCAAGCTCCGTCTCCCGGGTCCCCGCCATTCTCCTGCCTCAGCCTCCAGAGTAGCAGGGACTACAGGCACCTGCCACCACATCCGGCTAATTTTTCGTATTTTTAGCGGAGACGGGGTTTCACCGTATTAGTCAGGATGGTCTCGAAGTCCTGACTTCGTGATCCGCCCGCCTCAGCCTCCCAAAGTGCTGGGATTACAGGCGTGAGCCACCGCGCCTGGCCAAAGTTGTATGATTTTAAGGCTTATTCAAATTTAGGGTTTGGAGGGGCAAGTAACACTTCATTAGGTGGGTGTCATGAACTATCGCATTAACAGATTGTTTCTCCATTTCTACTAAAAATACAAAAACTAGCTGGGCACAGTGGCAGGCGCCTGTAAACCCAGCTACTTGGGAGGCTGAGGCAGGAGAATCGCTTGAATCAGCGGGGGCGGAGGTTGCAGTAAGCCAAGATTGCACCACTGCACTCTAGCATGTGGGCCACAGAGTGAGACCCCATCCCCACCCCCGCCAAAAAAAAAAAAAGATCAGTGAGTTCAGGGGTTATTGGGTTGACCCATTCATATAAAGCTCCTTGTCAGATTTTCATCTGACAGCTTTGGCAGCCACTGAGGAATACTGTTCAAATCCAATATTTCATTAGGGTTAGCAAAGCAATGACACTCTCTTTTTTTTGAGGCAGATTCTCACTCTGTCGCCCAGGCTGGAGTACAGTGGCAGGATCTTGGCTCACTGTGACCTCCACCTCCCTGGCTCAAGGAATTCTTGTGCCTCAGCCTCCCAAGCAGGTGGGATGACAGGCATATGTCTCTAGGCCCAGATAACTTTTGTATTTTTAGTAGAGACAGTGTTTCACCATATTATTGGCCAGGCTAGTTTCAAACTCCTGACCTCAATTGATCTGCCTGCCTCGGCCTCCCAAAGTGCTGGGATTTCAGGCATGAGCCACTGTGACCAGCCACAAAGCAATGATACTGACTCTTGCTTGAAATTCTTCTAAAAATAAAAGTTTCCTCAAACTATTTGGTTACAGTTCGTGAAAAAAACATGATAAATACTTGATCTTTTCCCTTAATGTAGCAAGTTTTGGAATAAAAGTTGATTCTCTAGCATCCTCTAAAATGGCCAACAATTTTTTTGTTGTTGTATCATTATGAACTCATCAATTTTTAATATATCGAGTGTTTTAATCCATGCTTAATACAAAAATTCAGCAGAGATATTTTTCCTATCAGACATTGTCAAATACTTTTCAAATTCAATCTTGCTATTCATTTAAGAAATAAAGGCATTCCTAATCACATTAAACCACAGCATTTCTGTTTTCTAGTGCTGGTAATATTTTTACCGGAGGGAAAGATTGAAGATAGACTCTTAGGAAGGTCAGTTAAGGCTGAGTATGGTGGCTCATGTCTGTAATCGCAGCACTTTGGGAGGCTGAGGTGGGTGAATCACCCGAGGTCAGGAATTTGAGACCAGCCTGGCCAACATGGTGAAACCCCGTCTCTACTAAAAAATACAAAAATTAGTTGGGCATGGTGGCATGCGCCTGTAATCCCAGCTACTTGGGAGGCTGAGGCAGGAGAATCGCTTGAACCCAGGAGGTGGAGGTTGCAGTGTGCCTAGATTGCACTACTGCACTCCAGCCCGGGTGACAGAGTGAGACTATCTCAAAAAACAAAAACAAAAAAAAAAAAAACAACAAAAAAAAACAGCTAAAAGATGGCCAGGTGCAATGGCTCATGCCTGTAATCCCAGCACTCTGGGAGGCCGAGGCGGGTGGATCATTAGGTCAGCTCACGAGATCAACACCATCCTGGCTAACATGGTAAAACCCCGTCTCTACTAAAAATTAAAAAAAAAAAAAAAAAAAAAAAATTAGCCGGGTGTGGTGGTGGGTGCCTGTAGTCCGAGCTACTTAGGAGGCTGAGGCAGAAGAATCGCCTGAACCTGGGAAGCGGAGGTTCCCCTCTGGGAACCAAGTGCAGTGAGCTGAGATTGCGCCACTGCACTCCGGCCATGGCGACAGAGCGAGACTCTGTCTCAAAAAAAAAAAAAAAAAAAAGAGAAATATAGCTAAAAGGAAAAAGAAAATCACCATAATTTCTGGAACTCTTATGAGACAGCTTAGAATTTTGACCACTGTCAATCATTACCTGGGACGACTGATTTCAGGACCCGCTACAGGTAGCAAAATCTGCAGATGCTCAAGTCCTTTATATCAAATGGCAGAGTACAGTTGGCCCTCCATATCCATGGGTTCTGAATCCATGGATATGGAGGGCCTACTGTATAGGAAGTGCTAAACTGCTTACTCTGCTACAGCTTATATGCCTTTTGACCTTTTTTTTTAAAGGTATTTATCTCTCTTTTAAAAATTTTTTTGAGACAGGGTCTTGCTCTGTTGCCTAGGCTAGAGTGCAGTGACGTGATTATGGCTCCCTGCAGCCTTGCCCTCCCAGGTTCATGCAATCCTCCCACCTCAGTTTCCTGAGTAGCTGGAACTACAGGCAGGCACCTGGAGTGAAGTATCATTTATTGAATACTTCCTGGGTGCTAAGCACAGTGTTAAGTGCTATACATGTATTTTCTTTTTCCTTTTCTTTTGAGATGGAGTTTCACTCTGTCACCCAGGCTGGAATGCAGTGGTGTGATCTCAGCTCACTGCAACCTCTGCCTCCTGGGTTCAAGCATTTCTCCTGCCTCAGCCTCCCAAGTAGCTGGGACCACAGGCATGCACCACTATGTCTGGCTAATTTTTGTATTTTTAGTAGAGACAGGGTTTTACCATGTTGGCCAGGCTAGTCTCAAACTCCTGACTTCGAGTGATTGGCCCCCGTTGGCCTCCCAAAGTGCTGGGATGACAGGCATAAGCCACTGCTCCCTGCCACAATGTGTTTTCATATTAATCTTTACAATATACCTGTCAGATACTGCTATTATGCCTTTTTTTTTTTTTTTTTTTTGGAGATAGAGTCTCACTCTGTTGCCCAGGCTGGAGTGTACTGGCACAATCACGGGTCACTGCAGCCTGAAGCTCCTAGGCTGAAGTGATCCTCTCACCTCAGCCTCCGAGTAGCCAGGACTACAGGCATATGCCACCATGCCTGGCTAATTTTTTTTCAGAGATGAGGTCTAATTACATTGCCCAGGCTGGTCTTGAATTCTTGGGCTCAGGTGATTCTCCTGCCTTGGCCTTTCAAAGTGCTGGAATTATAGATGTGCACCAGTGCAGCCAGCCCTATTGCCATTTTTACAAGTGAGGAATGCGTAGTTTAAGAGGTTATATAACTTGCTCAAGTTTCTATAGCTCTTAGCTAGCTAAGCTGGGGCTGAAATCCAGTACTTTTGCCTCTAAAGTTCACCATTTTTAAGCAGTTATACAATTTTGTGAATGATTCCTTTGCTCTTCTTAAATATTACCTGAATGTAACATCCTCAGGCATTTTTTCTTTGTTTCTTTCTTTATCCATCATTTCCACAGAATTTACTCCATTTGGCTCAGGTTCAAAAAGCATTTCATATGAAATGTTTTCAGTTTTTTTTAACTATAGAATAAAAAAGAAAAATTTTCTTTTCAAAGAATTCTTATCACATTAGATTAGCAAATCTAAAATAATTCCAAAATACAGTTTATTAAACAATCATACTCTATCAAATATTTAGTGATAATAAATTTAGGTTCAAGTATATTAAGAATATTAACATTCTTTACTACTAGGATGCAAAAAGTTATTTGTCTAAAGAGATGATGCAGGCCGGGCACAGTGGCTCACACCTGTAATCCGAGCACTTTGGGAGGCCGAGATGGGCAGAACACGAGGTCAGGAGTTCGAGACCAGCCTGGTCAACATGGTGAAACCCTGTCTCTACTAAAGATACAAAAAATTAGCTGGGCGTGGTGGCACATGCCTGTAATCCTAACTACTTGGGAGGCTAAGGCAGGAGAATCGCTTGAAGCTGGGAGGCGGAGGTTGCAGTGAGCCAAGATCACGCTGCTGCACTCCAGTCTGGGCGACAGGGTGAGATTTTGTCACAAAAAAAAGAGATGATGCATAGTGCAACAGACCTAGCTGTTGGGATATAAGATTCTTTAACGGGGATTAATGATAATTTAATCTAGCCCTGACTGATTATATTTTAAATTTTCAGTTAATGCAGTTTTAAAAAAAAATTTTTCTTTTTTCTTTCTTTTTTTTGGAGACGGAATCTCATTCTGTCCTCCAGGCTACAGGGCAGTGGCGCGATCTCGGCTCACTGCAACCTCCGACTCCCAGCTTCAAGCAATTCTCCTGCTTCAGCCTCCCAAGTAGGGATTACAGGCATGTGCCACCATGCCTGGCTAACTTTTGTATTTTTTAGTAGAGACAGGGTTTCACTATTTTGGCCAGGCTGATTTCGAACTCTGGGCCTCAAGTGATCCACTCATCTCGGCCTCCAAAGTGCTGGGATTACAGGCGTGAGCCACTGTGCCAGGCCGCAGTTTTTTTTTTTTTTTTTTGGAAACAGGATCTCACTCTGTGGCCCATTTCTACTCACTGCAACTTGAGCTCAGGTGATCCTCCCACCTCAGTTTCCCCAGTAGCAGCTGGGATTACAGATGCATGCCACCACACCTGGCTAATTTTTGTATTCTTAGTAGAGACAGGGTTTCACCATGTTGCCCAAGCTGGTCTCAAACTCCTGAGCTCAAGTGATCCGCCTGCCTCAGCTTCTCAAAGTGCTGGGATTATACACAGGAGCCACTGTGTTTGGCCAATTAATGCATGCTTTGATGAGGCTGAATACATCAATCAAACTAAAGAAAGCTTATTTTTTCATTTAGCTCTATGGCCTCTGTGACTGAAAGAAATATACTTTATTTTCAACCTTACCACTTGATTTAATCTTCACTAATCTACTCCTTTGGAATACCTTTCTTAAAATAATCTCGCTACCTCTTTGCTGAAGTCCACATTTTGGGGTTCAGTTTCTTTGAGTTGAACAATTTCTGCTGTGGGAGTTTCACGGTCTGGCTTTACATCATTTTCTCTAATGACAATGTCCAGTTCCTTAACGTTATCATCCTTCCTTCGAGTCTGCTCAAAAGACGTATAGCATTTTTATATTCATACTGTGCATGCATGTATATTTTATAAATAGTGCCTGTTAATTCTGAAAATAGAACAAAGCTGGATCTTCACTCATGAAGTTTTCTTATGAAAACTAACAAAGAAAATTTATATATATAGCAGTATTCCACACATTTTTCTCATCTCTTTTAAAAAAAGCATTTATTTTGTAATTTGCAGAATGTGCCACAATTCAAACTGTTGCTTTGTTTAGTCTCCTTTAGCAATGCCTGCTCTTGATTAGATGGAAAGAGGGGATGTCCATTAGGACAGGAAAGCATGTTCAGCTGATGCATTCAGTTTATGCCATTATAGAAAAACTTTTAAGATACTATTGCTAGGTGACAAGTGTCTACAAATAGGGACAGACCAGACAGAAGCTACTGAACAGGTTGACTAGGCTGCTATCTCTGAATTTATAAAGAGCGGCAAAAAAAAAAAACAAAAAAAAAAAAAACAAAAAAAACCAAAAAAAAAAAAAAAACCAAAAAAACAAAAAAAAGAAACAAAATGGCATCACTTTTTAAGCCTGAAGTTGAGAGGTGATGGACAGCACACTTGGAACTTTATTTAGAAGCTCTTTCCTGCTACAATTTAGGTCATGTTAAATTAGGACACAGAGCAATACACATTTTATTGAGAGGGGAATTGGGGACTATCTTGGTAACCTGCATAGCATTTTACATTTGTTGAAAACCCTTTTATTTTCTTAGTGTCTGGGCAGCTGTATCATCACCGTACAGTTGAAGACATTAAGTCCACAACTGGTCCACGGGCATCCAACATGTAGTTTAGCTCTGGTATCTTGAACTCAGGGTTATTTACATTTTACTTAGCTGTTTTAGCTTATTATTACAAGAATTAAATAATATAAAATAACTATCCATACTGCAGACCGTTTAAGACCTATCAATCATGTAACTCTGATTCCAAAATTCAGTGATATTAGATTTACACAAAAGAATAATCAAATGCAATTCATATACCTGAGTAGTCCTAAATGGATTATCCCTTAAATTTGAAGGGCTTTGTAAGGGTGACTGGTCTGAAGCACCAATAACATTTAATCCTTTTTTCTTTTCCCTCAGGCACGCTTGTTGATGTCTTCTTATTCTTTCCATTTGCTCTTCCACCGTCATCCTAGGTCGAGTACTTTCAGCCAAACAGAGCTGTTCCACCGCACTTCTTGGTCTTTCCTTCAATGTAAAAATGAACATATCAATACATAGATGAAAACTTTTGAAAAGTATGATGGAATAAAAAATTTTGTAAAGTGCATTTATTTATTTTGTTTTCAAAATCACAAAAGAGGTTCTGAGTGTCATTTAGATATCACCAGAAAGGCACATGAAATTGCTACTTGATCCTTAACTGGTAATTGGTGAGGTATGGTCAATGACAGAGAGAAAAAGTGAGAAGATATATAAGGGAGGAGAGAGAAAAGAGGAACAAAAAGTTTTTTTTTTTTGTCTTAAAAAAATAAAAAGGATATGGGCCAGGAGCAGTGGCTCACACCTGTAATCCCAGCACTTTGGGAGCCTGAGGTGGGTGGACTGCTTTAGCCCAGGAGTTTGAGACCAGCCTGGGCAACATGGTGAAAATCCATCTCTACCAAAAATACAAAAATTAGCCAGGCAGGTGTGGTGGTATACGCCTATAGTCCTAGCTACTTGGGAGGCTGAGGTAGAAGGATGGTTTGAGCCCAGGAGGTGGAGGTTGCAGTGAGCTGAGATCATGCTATTGCACTCCAGAATGGACGACAGAACCAGACCCCATCTCAAACAAACAAACCAACCTCCATAATTCAGTTCCAGAAAATCTGGGTAAAACAAAAAACACCACCATGCCTACCATAAAAGGGCAGGGCAGGCTGGGTGCAGTGGCTCATGCCTATAATCCCAGCACTTTGGGAGGCTGAGGCAGATGGATCACTTGAGGTCAGGAGTTCAAAACCAGCCTGGCCAACATGGCGAAAACCCGTCTCTACAAAAGTACAAAAAAAATTAGCCAGGCATGGTGGCTTATGCCAGTAGTCCCAGCTACTTGGGAGGCTGAGGTGGGAGAATCGCTTGAACCTGGGAGGCAGAGGTTGCAGTGAACTGAGATTGTGCCAGCCTGGGCAATGAGTGAGAGTCTGTCTCAAAAAACAAAACAAAACAAAACAAATACACACATACACACACATATATAAAGAATATGGTAGCTCTGGAGTAAGCCAGTCCCATGACCCTGAAACGGAAAGCTGCATAAAACTCAAACGAGGAGAAAAGCAGGGGCACGTGTCTAAATATTAGAGATTTCTTTTATTTTGATGCAAATGTAATGTTTTAAGTTATACATTTACCGTGAAAAGACAAATAGAGCAAACACCCCTAGATATTTTCTTTCTTATCAGTAATAAAACTATGAAAACACTTATTTTCTATAAATCAGTCATATTTGAAAATGCTTAATGAAGTATACATATACATACACACATACCTATATATACACACACACATATATATACACACATATACATACAGTTGTTCCTTGAACAACACAGGATTGAGCTGCAGAAGTCCATATATATGAGGATTGTTTTCAATAAAGGTTATACCGAGTGTGCCTGCCTCTCCTTCTACTTCTACCTCTTTTGCCTCTGCCACTCCTGAGACAGTTAAGAACAACTCCATTGCTGGGCATGGTGGCTCACACCTGTAATCCCAGCACTTTCTGAGGCTGAGGCGGGCGGATCATCACGAGGTCAGGAGTTAGAGACCAGCCTGGCCAACATGGTGAAACCCTTTGTCCACTAAAAATATAGAAATTAGCCGGGCATGGTGGCAGGCGCCTGTAGTTCCAACTATTCGGGAGGCTGAGGCAAGAGAATCATTTGAACCCGGGAGGCAGAGGTTGCAGTAAGCCGAGATCGCGCCACTGCACTCCAGCCTGGGTAACAGGGAGACACTCCGTCTCCAAAAAAACAAAGAAAACCCAAAAAGAAACAACTCCCTCTTCTTCCATCTAGTCAATGTGAAGATGATGAGGACGAAGATCTTTATGATGAACTATTTCCACTTAATAAATGGTAAAATATATTTTCCCTTGTGATTTTAATTTTATTTATTCATTTTTTGAGACAGGTTGTCGCTCTGTTGCCCAGGTTGGGGTGCAGTGGGGCGATCATGGCTCACCTCACCCTCCCGGGCTCAAATCTCTTGAGTAGGTGAGACCATAGGTACTGGCCACTATGCCTGGCTAATTTTTTTGGGTAAGTTTTGTAGAGATGGGGTCTCCTTATGTTGCTCAGGCTAGTTTTGAATTCCTGAGCTCAAGGAATCCTCCAGACCTGGCCTCCCAAAGTGCTGGAATTATAGGTATAAGCTACTATGACTGGCCTAAACCTGTTAGTATCTTTCTGCTTGATTTTATATTTGTGTCTTTGTTTTTTTTGAGACAGAGTTTCACACTCTCTTGCCCAGGCTGGAGTGCAGTGGTGCAATCTCAACTCACTGCGACCTCTGCCTCCTGGGTTCAACTGATTCTTATGCCTCAGCCTCCTGCGTAGCTGAGACTACAGGCGCCTGCCACCACGCTTACCTAATTTTTGGATTTTTAGTAGAGACAGGGTTTTACCATGTCGGCCAGGCTGGTCTTGAACTCCTGACTTCAAATGATCTGCCTGCCTGCCTCGGCCTCTCAAAGTGCTGGGATTATAGGTGTGAGCTACAGCACCTGGCCTCTGCTTGATTTTAAAATGCACTTTTTGTAGTCCTTTTTCTGTAGACTTGTTATTTTAGCTTGACCATTTCCAATGAAATCTTCCAATCTGTAAAAAATGCCTAACTCTCTGAACAAACAATAGTATTTCAGAATCATGACCATTAATGTTAATGCTGATACATTATCTTTATTCCATGATAATTATTTCTATGGATCTTTATAATTTCGTACTAACTGAAAACATTACATTTCTTATATATAAATGCAGCTGAGTTTTTTGGCATATACTTTGTAGCTGTGCTTTAATATCTTTGAAGAATAGCTAGCCTGGGCAAGAGTGAGACCCCGTCACTACTAATAAAAAAGAAAAAAAGATGAGCCAAGTATGGTGGTACATACTTATTGTCCCAGCTAGCCAGGAGGCTGGGGTGAGAGGATCCCTTGAGTCCAGGAGTTGGAGGCTGCAGTGAGCTATGATCATGCCACTGCACTTCAGCCCAGGAAACAGAGTGAAACCCTATCCATTAAAAAAAAAAAAAAAAAAAAAAAAGACTAGCCATATATCTTATATGTAGTACCTTTCAGTCTTGTCTTATAGCTTCAAATTATCTCATACCAAATAGGTAGAGTATTTACAAAGATAAAAAGTGGAAGTATTTTTGCAGCCCGAATTTCTAGAGAATACTTGAAGAAAAGGAGTTAAGTATTCTCAGCATTTTCCAAAGAACAAACAAGACTGGTTTAGAGTTCGAATTAAATGAATCTCAGATGAAAATGTAAAATATAAGATTTATTTTCCAGTCCCAACTCACATTTCTCAGAGTAACCAGAGGATTGGCAAACTCTAAAGCTATTAATACCATAGCTAAAAGGCCCTGCAACCTCATGATAGCTAGAAAATCCGTTAACTTTTGGGTGGCCACAGGACACATCTATACCTCTCATCGAGAAAATTCTTACAGGCATCGAGGAGTGTAGCACAGTGATTAGAGAATAGATTCCACAAATCGTGGACTACAACTATGACTCCACGTCTAGGCTGATCAAAAGAAACTTAAATTAGGTATTGACTAGGTCTAATATAAATGAAATTTTAAGAATAACTAAGATTACTAAGTTTTTCTTCGAGTATGCAAAAATAATTTTGATAAGACACTGAAAATGAAAACATGTAAAAAAGCAATAAATAGGTCTGAGAATCTTTCTAGATATTAATTTCCAGTTAAATACCGTTCTTAGATCCATCATCTTCTTCGTTTTCCTCAAGGTTACATATGAAGCTATTGTCGAAGATTCGGGTGTTGGTGATTTTGTTCTTGGAGGGACTACTCCAACAGGAAAGTGGGAACCTAAAAATTAAAACAGCAGTAAGTTCTACAAAACATCTTTTTTCCGGCATTGCTTTCTTTTAACTTACTTAATTTCTCACACTTTTTCAAATCAGAAAGCAAATTTATTTAAAAAGAGTCAGGCTGGGTGTGGTGACTCACGCCTGTAATCCCAGCACTTTGGGAGGCTGAGGCAGGCAGATCACCAGAAGCCAGGAGTTCGAGACCAGCTTAGCCAACATGGTGAAATGCTGTCTCCACTATAAAAAATACAAAAATTAGCCAGGCATAGTGCCAGGTGCCTGTAATCCCAGCAACTCAGGAGGCTGAGGCAGGAGAATTGCTCGAACCCAGGGGGTGCAGGTTGCAGTGAGCTGAGATCGTGCCCTTGCACTCCAGCCTGGGTGACAGAGAGGACTCTGCCTCATAAATAAATAAATAAATAAATAAATAAATAAATAAATAAATAATAAAAAGAGTCAAAGTCAGTCAATGATACCACCAGATAAATTTAGGGTTACATTTAAAAATAAAATTCTGTTCATGGCTGTAATCCTAGCATTTTGGGAGGCTGAGGCGGGAGGATCACTTGAGCTCAGGATTTTCATATCAGCCTGGGTAATATAGTGAGACCCTCCCTCCACAAAAATTGAAAAGAAAAAAAAAAAATTAGGTGGGTGTGGAGGTGCACACCTATAGTCCCAGCTACTCAGGAGGCTGAGGTGAGAAGATCACTGCAGAGGCTGCAGTGAGCTGAGACTGCATCATTGCACTCCAGCCTGGGCAACAAAGCAAGTGAGAACTTGTCTCCTTAAAACAAAAAAAAAGAAAAAAGATAAGAAAAAATAGTACAGATTAACTGATGATATTTTTAAGAACATTAACTATAAAATGCCCTCTTTTGGTCAGGTGCCGTGGCTCACTGCCTATAATCCTAGCGCTTTGGGAGGCTGAGATGGGAGGATCACTTCAGGCCAGGAGTTTGAGACCAGCCTGCTCACACAGACCCATCTCTATTACACACACACACACACACACACACACACACACACAAAAAAGCCTTCTTTGTCATCCTGATACATCTCTATCATCATCCTAACATGTTAGTTCAACCTAAATGTCCTTAATTTCTGCTTGGCTTTTAAAAATCATACAATATTGCCTCAAAGCATCCACTAACAATGTTAACAATAGCTAACTATAGGTGATCACTTTCACTTTCTCTTCTGTATTTTTCTTTTTTTTTTGAGATGGAGTCTTGCTCTGTTGCCTAGGCTGGAGTGCAAATGGCACGACTTTGACTCACTGCAACTTCTGCCTACTGGGCTCAAGCGATCCTCCCACCTCAGCCTCCTGAGTAGGAGGGACTACTGGCATGCACTACCACGCCTGGTTAATTTATTTTTTTGTAGAGACAGGATCTTGCCACGTTGCCCAGGCTGGTCTCGAACTCCTGGGCTCAAGCAATCCTCTTGCCTCGGCTTCCCAAAGTGCTGGGATTACAAGCACCTGCCGCTAGGCTCAGCCAGTCTTTTTTATTTTTTTACTTTTTGAGATGGAGTTTCGTTCTTGTTGCCCAGGTTGGAGTGCAATGGCACGATCTCGGCTCACTGTAATTTCTTCTTCCTGCGTTCAAGCGATTCTCCTGCCTCAGCCTCCTGAGTAACTGGGATTACGGGCAAGCGCCACCATGCCTGGCTAATTTTGTATTTTTAGTAGAGACAGGGTTTCACCATGTTGGTCAGGCTGGTCTGGAACTCCTGACCTCAGGTGATCTGCCTGTCTTGGCCTCCCAAAGTGTTGGGATTACAGGTGGAAGCCACCGCGCCTGGCCTCGGCCAATCTTTTTAAGTGAAGCATTCAGTCCAATTATATTTGTTGTAATTGCCAATGTATTTAGATTTATTTGTAACAATGTATTTTTTTGCTTTGCATCTTCTCCAGTTTCCTTTCTTTTTTGGATTATCTTTCTCTCCTTTGAGAGTCTTGCTGTGTTGTTCAGGCTGAAGTGTAAGTGGTACGATCACAGCTCTCTGCAGCCTCGACAATTTCTTTTATCCTATACCCTAGCATAAGGGTTTCTAAACTTAAGAAAGTCTAAAGTTAATCAAGATCATTACCATGATTCAGAACAAAACAAAGATGTTAAAGCATATTAATATTAATAAACTTCCTCCTCATTTATATGCTATTGTTGTCAAATAGTTGTATGCTTAAAAAAAAGCCAGATACATTTTTACTTTATAAAACAGAGATGAGGTCTGGTTATGTTTACCAGGCTGGTCTTGAACTCCTGGGATCAAGCAATCCATCTACTTTGGCCTCCCAAAGTGCTGAGATTACAGGTATGAGCCATTGCTCCCAGCCCATTTAAAGTCCTTGTTGTGGCCAGGTGTGGTGGCTCGTGCCTATAATCCCAACACTCTGGGAGGCTGAGGAAGGCAGATTGCTTGAGCCTAGGAGTTTGAGACAAGCCTGGGCAACATGGTGAAACCCTGTCTCTACAATAAATACAAAAATTAGCCAGGTGTGGTGGCACAAGTGTGTAGTCTCAGCTACTTGGCAGCATGAGGATGAAGGAGGCTACAGTGAGCCATGATCGCACCACTGTACTCCAGCCTGGGCTGACAGTGAGATCCTGTCTCAAAAAAAAAAAAAAAAAAGAAAAAAAAAAAAAAAAGACTTTGAATAAGGAGACAGGATTAGGATGACAAAGAAAAGGTGTATAAATTTTCAAGATGCCAGTATTTTTAAATTAAAAAATGGCATTAGATAACCTAGAAAAATATTCCAACTATGAAAAAAGCTATGTGAACATTACTACCACTTCGGTGTTCTCTTTTTTTTTTTGAGATGGAGTCATTGTCCAGGCTGGAGTGCAGTGGCATGATCTTGACTCACCGCAACCTCCGCCTCCTGGTTCAAGCGGTTCTCCTGCCCCAGCCTCCTGAGTAGCTGGGATTACAAGTGCCTGCCACCACACCTGGCTAATTTTTGTATTTTTAGTAAAGATGGGGTTTCATCATGTTGGCCATGCTGGTCTTGAACTCCTGACCTTGTGATCCGCCCGCCTCGGCCTCCCAAAATGCTGGGATTATGGGCGTGAGCCACTGTGCCTGGCTTCATTTAGGTGTTTTTCTTTCTTTCTTTTTTTTTTTTTTGAGATGGAGTCTCGCTCTGTCACCCAGGCCAGATCTCAGCTCACTGCAAGCTCCACCTCCTGGGTTTATGCCATTCTCCTGCCTCAGCCTCTGGAGTAGCTGGGACTACAGGCGCCCGCCACCTTGCCCGGCTAGATTTTGTATTTTTTAGGGGAGACAGGGTTTCACCGTGTTAGCCAGGATGGTCTCGATCTCCTGACCTTGTGATCCTCCCGTCTCGGCCTCCCAAAGTGCTGGGATTACAGGCTTGAGCCACCGTGCCCAGCCTCACTTAGGTGTTTTTCAAACTTTACTTAGTAAAGTTTGTAGCAGACTACAAAAATCAGTCCAGTGGGTTATGATAAGCATTTATTTTTCTAAGAAGTTTTACATTTTGTCACACTTGCATTATCTCTGCATAAATACATACACACTCTTTTTGGTGAATCCTTTAAAAGTGGCAGATGCTTTTGTACTAAGTGTTTCAGAATTCACATACTACATTCTACTACATAACCACAACATCACGATCACACTACTAGCTAATATCTAGAACATGTTTAAATTTCCATAATTGTCCTACTTTAGATACTCTTCTTTTAAACCATGGTCCAATCAAGTTTCAAACACTGCGATGTATCTATCCATTATTTTTGTGTGTGTGTGATGGAGTCTCACTCTGTCACCCAGGATGGAGTGCAATGGCACAATCTTGGCTCACTGCAACCTCCGCCTCCTGGGTTCAAGTGATTCTCCTGCCTCAGCCTCCTGAGTAGCTGGGACTACAGGTGTGTGTTACCCATGTGCGGCTAATTTTTTGTATTTTTAGTAGAGACAGGGTTTCTTTTCTTTCTTTTTTTTTTTTGAGATGAAGTCTTACTTTGTCGCCCAGGCTGGAGTGCAGTAGCATGATCTCTGCTCACTGCAACCTCCGCCTCCCTGGTTCAAGCGATTCTCCTGCCTCAGCCTCCTGAGTAGCTGGGATTACAAGCGCAAGTAACCATGCCCAGCTAATTTTCTATTTTTAGTAGAGATGGGGTTTCATCATGTTGGTCAGCCTGGTCTTGAACTCCTGACCTCATGATCTGCCTGCCTTGGCCTCCCAAAGTGCTGGGATTATAGGCACAAGCCACCATGCCCAGCCAAACTTTTGTACTTTTAGTAGAGATGGGGTTTCACCATGTTGGCCAGACTGGCAGAGTTTCCATTTCCTGGGAGAGTTTCTTTTTTTTTTTTTTTTCTGTTTCTGGTTGTTGTTGTTGACCTCCTGACCTCAGGTGACCTGCCTGCCTCGGCCTCCCAAAGTGCTGGGACTGCAGGCGTGAGCCACCACACCCAGCCTATCTATATTTTTAATCTAGGACAGTTCTCTCTCTACTCTTTTCTTTATGCAATTGCCTTCTAGAGAAATGACCAGCATTAAGAAAAAAATCAGAGTATACTTTACAGAAATATTATTTCAGAATTTACTTTGTAGAAATTGTGTAAAAATTTGTTTCAGCCATCAATGCCTTACGCATAATTTTAAACACACACACAGAAAAGACCCTGTCCAGGTGTGGTGGCACATGCTTGTAATCCTGAAGTGGAAGGACTGCTTGAGTTCCTCTGAGTTCAAGACCAGCTTGGGCAACACAGCAACACCTTGTCTCTACAAATACTTAAAAAATTAGTTGGGTATGGTGGTGTGGGCCTGTGGTCCCAGCTACTTGGAAGGCTGAAGTGGGAGGATCACTGAGTCTGGGAGGTCGAGGTTACAGTGAGCCATGTTTGCTCCAGTACAGCAGCTCAGGTGACAGAGCGAGGAGACCCAATCACAAACAACAACAAAAATAACAAGAACCACCACCACCACAACAACCAGAAACAGAAAACAACATCAACATCACCAGAAACAGAAAACAACAACAACAACAACAAAACTCTCCCAAGAAATGGAAAACTTTAAAGTTTGACATAAACTCATTTCTCAGTAAAACCTAATCTGATGTGATGTCTTTTATTTTTATTTATTTGAGACGAAGTCTCGCTCTGTTGTCCAGGCTGGAGTGCAGTGGTGTGATCTCGGCTCACTGTAGCCTCCACCTCCTGGGTTCCAGTGATTCTCCTGCCTCAGCCTCCTGGGTAGCTGGGATTACAGGTACCTGCCACCACGACCAGCTAACGCTTTTATTTTTAGCATTTATTTATGCCACTTGGAATGAATATTGTAGAAATTTAAATTTAAAGTTTAAAAAAAGGGTGCTGCCTCATACCTAGCTGAGATGACATATATCATTTATGGGCCATTTTATCTTTCAATATCTGAAAATTTCTTAATTTAGAAACTCATCAGAGTCCAAAGGTTTCAGATAAAGGCTTGGACTCATATGAGTCAACATGTAAATGGAATTTACTGCTATTTTAGCAGCAAATTGTCTTCAAAAACAAAAAACAAGAGGTAAAACATATTACAAATGCTGACCTTTAACAACTGAAGTTTCTATCTCTGAAACAGGTTCTGATTTTTCTTCTCCATTAGATTCATCAACTTCTGCCACTGTTGTTAACTCTGGTTCACTCTTGTAGAGTCTATAATCTGGACCCTTGAAAGGAAGACATGTAATTACTCCAAAAAACTGCTAACAGTTCTTTTAAAATGTTTACTGCTAAAGACACAAATCAAACTCTAAAAATTAGTAGCCCTAGTGAGCCATCTGGGATATAACACAAATAATACCTACATCACAACTACATGGAAAGAAGAAATTTGAGAAATTTTAAAGTGGCAAAACTTTGTTTTAATATTAAGAATATTTCTGGCTGGGCGCAGTGGCTCACACCTGTAATCCCAGCACTTTGGGAGGCCAAGGTGGGGGTATCACCTGAGGCCAGGAGTTTGAGACCAGCCCAGTCAACATGGTGAAACCCTGTCTCTACCAAAAATACAAAATTAGCTGGTCATGGTGGTGTGTGCCTATAATCCCAGCCATTCCGAAGGCTGAGGCAGGAGAATCGCTTGAACCCGGGAGGTGGAGCTTGCAGTGAGCCAAGATTGCTCCACTGCACTCCAGCCTGGGCAAGAGTAAGACCCTGTCTCAAAAAAAAAAAAAAAAAAAAGAGTATTTCTGTTTCTCTTAGGGACAAGTCACATTTTCACCATGGAATAAATGAGGGCTAAAAATAACTATATTAATTCAATAAATTTTCATTCACAAGGTGGTATAAGGCTCATCCCAGCACTAAAATTCCTGTCACAGACATGTTGTTGTTTTCAAATTAGCTCAATTCTTATTTCCTTATTCTCTTTGCTTATTATATCCTACATTATTTGCTTAACCCTAAATGTATTTCCCATTTTTAGGGGTCACATCTCTCCTTAGCAACATCCACATCTTTGAGTAGTTTTCCTAGACCAAAACGCCCACATCCCAGCTCCTTTACCATTCCGAGTAACGGTCTTTTCCTTATCCCTTCTTTCTGATCTGAAGGTATAATTTTGCCTCCAATACCCTGAAATGGTATATCTAAAATATGGCTGCTTCATCATGGCCAAAGATACCACTTTATGAAAATATGAAAAATGCTATGAAATTATAAAATATTAAAATTATAAAAATATTAAAAACGAGAATAGCAAAACCAAAACAGGAAAGACACAAATGATGAAGTTATATATAAATAATAAACTGCGGGCTAAAAATGAGGTTATAAAGGTTATAATAAAAAAAAGTTTGAATGTAAGATACATTAATTTTCAAAAATGAGAGGACAGGTATGATTGATTATTCTGTGGCTATTCCAGCCACTTACACAGTGAGATCCATTTCTTGGATATCCTTGAACTTGATACATCTTCTTTTCTTCAGGCAGATGAACTGGGCCCCTGCTATAACAGAGCAAGGAGCTGCTATCACTGGGCAGAGGGGGGATTATGGGAGGCTGCTCTGTAAAGTCATAGGACCGAGGAAGTGGAGGACGAGGTGGGACTACTTCCTCTTCCTAAAGATTGTAGAACAGTCACCTTATTTAGATAAGCAGATTGAATTAAGCATATCTAAATTCTTTGCAATGGTATATTAACTTAAATTTACTTTAAGATACTAAAAGGGACACTGCCAAGCCAAAAGTCTAATAATGAAAAGTAAAATCAAAAATTTTTATCATAGTCAATAATTGGAATTTAACATATAATTACATCTGATTCTTTCCTGTAACATATAGGTTAGCTTCACACTGAAGCTCAACATCAAAAGAGATTACTATTTAAAACTAATTACTGGGTTTCATTTTAAAACTAGAAGGAAAGAACTGATTTTAAAATCCTATTCTTATATATTCACAATTTATCTATTTATTTGGTAGAGATGGGGTCTCGCTATATTGCAGTGATTTGATCATACATAGCTCATTGCACCCTTGAACTCCTGGGCTCAAGGGACCCTTCTGGCTCAGCCTCCCAAGTAGCTGGGACCAACAGGCACACCATGTCTGGCTAATTTTTTAATGTTTTATAGAGATGGGGGTCTTGCTCTGTTTACCAGGCTGGTCTCAAACTCCTGGACTCAATACATCCTCCTGCCTTGGCCTCCAAAGGTGCTGGGATTACAGGCATGAGCCACTGTATCTGGCCCCCCAATTTTTAAGAGAAGAAAAAAAAAGTTATCTCTTTGACTGGCTTTTATACAAAATTCAAAATAATAGATTCTTTTGGTTAGGTTGACAGTATCTCTTTGTAGTTGTAATTTCTTTATGCTATGCATGACACACAGCCAACTTATCTATCAATCATCCTATAAATTTTACATGGTATAAGAAACAATGATAAGTATTCAAACATTACTTAGATTAGAAAAAGCATGACAATGTTAAAATTCTAACATAGATAAAAAGCAGATTCCATTTTTTTGCATTAAAAAGGGAAGAAAAATAATGTATTAGACGCACCAAATTACTGATCCAATAAAATTTCAAGATTAAAACAATATCTGTTCAATATATTTAAAAAATATTTCTGTTATTAAGATTAGAGAAGACAATTACTTCTAGTTCATGTCTTAAGCATTAAAAGTAATTTATAATTAGAAAAACAATCCAAACTTACCTCACTTTTGTACTTAACTGTTGAGAAAGGCTTTGATCCTACCATACCTAGAAATATTAGAAAACGTAACTATATTAAACATATCTTTCTAATACTATAGAAAAAAGAACAATTTCTTTTGTTGTTTTGAAATGAAGTCTTGTCCTGTTGACCAAGTTGGAGTGTAATGGTGTGATCTCGGCTCACTGCAACCTCTGCCTCCTAGGTTCAAGCAATTCTTGTGCCTCAGCCTCTTGCAGCTGGGACTACAGGTGTGCACCACCACGCCCAACTGATTTTTTTATTTTTAGTAGAGATGGGGTTTCACCATGTTGGTCAGGCTGGTCTTAAACTCCTGACCTTAAGTGATTCACCTGCCTCGGCCTCTGAAAGTGCTGGGATTACAGGCATGAGCCACCACGTCCAGCCAAAAAAAGAACAACTTCATTTCATGTATTTTATTTTTTTAAAATTTATTTTTATTCTTATTTATTTATTTATTTATTTGAGACAGAGTCTTGCTCTGTTGCCCAGGCTAGAGTGCAATGGCAAAATCTCGGCTCACTGCAACCTCTGCCTGCCAGGTTCAAGCGATTCTTCTGTCTCAGCCTCCCGAGTAGTTGGGACTATAGGTGCACGCCACCATGCCTGGCTAATTTTTGTATTTTTAGTAGAGATGGGGTTTCACCACATTGACCAGGCTGGTTTTGAACTCTTGACCTCATGATCCGCCCATCTCTGCCTCCCAAAGTACTGGGATTAGAGGCGTGAGCCACTACGCCAGGCCTTTTTTTTTTTTTTTTAAATTGTTTTTCACTCTGTTGCCCAGGTTGGAGTGCAGTGGCATGACCTCAGCTTACTGCAACCTCCACTTCCCAGGTTCAAGTGATTCTCCCGCCCCAGCCTTCGAAGTAGCTGGGACTACAGGTGTGTACCACCACATCTGGCCAATTTTTTTTTTTTTTTTTAGTAGAGTCAGGGTTTTGTCATGTTGGCCAGGCTGGTCTTGAACTCCTGACCTCAAGTGATCCACCTGCCTCGGCCTCCCAAAGTGCTGGGATTACAGGCATGAGCCATCGTGCCTGGCCCATTTCACATATTTTAAATGAAGTCTTCAGTTTCTTTCTTTTTTTTTTTTTTTTTTGAGACGGAGTCTCGCTCTGTCACCCAGGCTGGAGTGCAGTCGCCGGATCTCGGCTCACTGCAAGCTCCGCCTCCCGGGTTTACGCCATTCTCCTGCCTCAGCCTCCCGAGTAGCTGGGACTACAGACGCTCGCCACCTCGCCCGGCTATTTTTTTGTATTTTTTACTAGAGACGGGGTTTCACCGGGTTAGCCAGGATGGTCTTGATCTCCTGACCTCGTGATCCGCCCGTCTCGGCCTCCCAAAGCGCTGGGATTACAGGCTTGAGCCACCGCGCCTGGCCAAGTCTTCAGTTTCTAATCATTCACTTGTTGTTTTCAGAATTGGAAACCAATTACATTAAGAAAGCAACAAATATTTACACAAGAGTATGGGCAAGTGGGTTTTCTCAGACATTACTGGTATTAACATAATTTAATCCTTCAGGAGGGCAATTTGGCTGCAGCTATCAAAATGGAAAATGTGTGCTTATTTCTCACCTTTTGAAATCTATTAAGCACTAACATAGGTGTTTAGTTGTGTATATTAATAATGTTCATTACAGCATGGCTTATGACAGCAAAAATAAAAAACTCTGGAAACAACATACATTATCCATCAATATGGAAATGGATAAATTATAGTTCCCTTATACAATGGATTCTTATATTATACTGTATCGTTATGGAGAAAAAAGCAAATTATTGAAAAATAGACATAGGAAGATCCCAGTTCTTGTGGGGATAAAACTTCTAAAGTGTAAACATTGTGGGTATTAAAAATTATACACACAAGACAGTAATTAGTTTTGTTTAGGTGTGGTTGACAGAGCTTTTGCTTTTTACTTTATAAACCTGTGCTCTGATAAGAGTGCCTGTTCAGAAAAATGCATTAAAATAACAAAAGAAACTCAATTATATGTATCATTCCATTTAGACATTCAGTCATGTGCCACATACCAATGTTTTGGTCAGCAACAGACTACATATACGACAGTGGTCCCATATGATTATAATGCAACTGAGAAATAACTTTTTTTTTTTTTTTTTTTGAGACAATCTCCCTCTGTTGCCCATGCTGGAATACAGTGGCATGATCTTGGCTCACTGCAACCTCCACCTCCCGGGTTTAAGTGATTCTCCTATCTAAGCTTTTTTTTTTTTTTTTTTTTTAGACCTATCGATCAGAATGACCTTTACAGACATTTGTAACGTCGATAGGCATGAAGAAATGCTCAGAAGTATGTTTCCCATATCAGAATCAGATCGTGTGGAAAATGACTTTATGACGGGTGCATCCACCACCCACCTACTCTCCCCACATACCTCTCCCCTTAGTTGTTGTCCAGACGCTTTCAGGGACCAGGCTGCAGGAAGTTCTTGCCAGGATGGTATAATTTTTAAAGATGTGTAGTGTGCCTCTTTTACTAAAGCGCCACCACTTCTCTTTTTCTTACTCGCCATCATGAAACATTCAGACAATCTTTTTGGGTTTTTGTTGTCCACCTTTCAAATCTGCCTTTCGTTTGGTGACGGATCAATCCAGTCCCAGTTCATTTAAGCCCATTGTAATTAGCTACCATCCCTTCCATGCAAAATATCAACTGGTGTTTTATAGTGGCAGGCTACAGTTAACTCACTTAGGAGGCTGGGACAATCCATTTTGCCCATTCAGGAGGCCAGGTTTACAGGCTTAGCGAGGAGTCTCAGCCACTCCCTCCAGCCTGAGTAACAGGAGGACAACTCAAGCATGGAGAAGTGAGAGAGGAAGCCAAGAAAAACATTTGCTGTCTCTTCAAGCTTCCATGCAGTCAATGGGGAGGGATGTAAAGTTTGGAAAGTTTAGATTAAATGAAAATGATTTTGAAGTATATATTTCCACGATTTCATTTTGTTCCATTGTGTTTTCAAGTTTAAGTTTGTGAAATCCACATATTGCAAATTGCAGATGTGACCAGAGGACGATCATGAAACTATTACCTCATATCTCTCACTTTGAATCAATTCTCTTCTGCTGGTACAGCGTGAAATAATTTTCCATGTACCACTTCTGTGTTTGAAGTTTTGAGATGGGATCAAGCTGAGATGGGATATGTCTGCATGAAGTCAGGCACATAAGTTTTGAGCCTTCCCTGGGCTCAAGGAGATCAATTCATCTCCCAAAATACTGTCACCCAAATTGCTTCCTATGATATTTAACTGTATCAGTCTCTTCACCCAATTACAATTGTCTTTGAAACATTGCAGGTTGGGTTTCTGCATCTCTTGCCAAAGCTGCAAAAGTTGTTCAAACTCATAAGTCTTTTTCTTCTGGTTCAAGCTGGGTTCTTTTCAAACTTTGCTCTGGCGTGAAATTTGCAAATTCACGCCTGTTAGTTTTCCCAGTAAGACAGTTTTTCTACCATTCCAACTTGTGACAACTGAAACTCGGAGGCAGCACCTCAAACTCTGATCTGCCTACCTGGAGCGCTCTCTGGGGACTTCTGCAGGACCACAGGTGCTCTTCTTCTTCTACTTGTCCACATCCACTTTTTGTGAAAGTAGGCAGCAAGGCTGACATGTGCAAACACAAAGTTCCAATGAAAATCTTCAGACCTCCACGCTAAAAATGCTAACTCTCTACTGATGTTCCAATGGTGTTTTTCAGATAAGGAAGGTGGCGTTAAATCATTTTAGCCTTGCTTTAACCATTCATCTTCTTCAAGTGAACCATTTACGGATATTACCATGTTTATTTGCAAAAAAGCGTCTACGACTTCTTGTTTTTGTATTTACATTGGGTTTTGCTCTCACTTTGCCTTCAACCTTTATCTTTTGAAATACCCTTGAAGTAAAAATGAGGACCCGTCCTAACGATACAGAAGAAAAAAGTGGGTTTGATTCTTGTTGCTATGTGTGACACCTCTTCAGGAAGGCTGGGGTGGGGAAGGGATCCTTGAGTCCAGGGTTGGAGGCTGCAGTGTTTATGATCATTGCCACTGCACTTCAGCCAGAGAGGCGCAAGTGAAACCACCTCCATTATACAAGACTAGCCATATATCTTATACTAATGCCTTTCAGTCTTGTCTTATATTCAAAATTATCTCATATAAATGGTAGAGTATTTACAAAGATAAAAAGTGGAAATATTTTTTTACATGCAAAATTTCTAGAAGAATGAAGAAAAAAGAGGTTAAGTATTCTCAGCATTTTCAAAAAAGACTGGCAGACTGGATGAGTTGAATTCAATAGATCTCAGATGAAAATGTGTAAATATAAGATTTATTTTCCAGTCCCAACTCACATTTCTCAGAGTAACCAGAGGATTGGCAAACTCTAAAGCTATTAACTCCACCAGCTAAAGGCCCTGCAACCTCATGAAGCTAGAAAATCCGTTAACTTTAATTTATTACAGGACACATCTATGCCTCTGTCGAGAAAATTCTTACAGGCATCGAGGTGTAGCACAGTGATTAGAGAATTAGATTCCTAAATAGTGGACTACAACTATGACTCACGTCTGGCTGATGTGAAAAGAAACTTAAATTAAGGTATTGACTAAGGTCTGTCCTCTGTAGACGTTACTAATATAGGCATGAGGAATTTTAAGAATCAACTGGATTACTAAGTTTTCTTGAGGTATGCAAAAATGTAATTTTGATTAAGATACTAAGAAATGAAAACATGTAAAAAAGCACAATAAAGCCAGTTCTGAGAATCTTTACAAATATTAATTTCAAATTAATCCCAAGTTCTTAGATCCATATGTTGTTTTCTATCTAAGGTTACATATGAAGCTATTGTGAAAAGATTGGGGTGTTGAGGCAGTTTTTGTTCTTGGAGGACTACTCCAGCAGGAAAGTGAGGCCCTAAAAATTAAAACAGCAGTATAAGTTCTACAAACATCTTACTGGCATTGCTTTCTTTTAACTTACTTAATTTCACACTTTTTCAAATCAGAAAGCAAA